ACATTACCCCAGAGTGATGCAACAGGTGCCTGAGGTTTTACTTCACTTCCAGAACAACTCAAGCAGCCTACCCAAAACGTCACTTGCACAGGGACGAGCACTCGGGTATCTCCCTCCTCTCAGCGCACACTCACTCAGCATTCCCTGCAAATTGCCACAGTGACTACGAGAGGAGGAAGTTACCACCACGTGAGGCCGGACAGCAGCACAAGCAGAGGCACGGGGCTCACAGAGGTGTCTCAGAAGGGGTGCCTGGCTTACAGCCCAGCCAAAGTTGAGCCCCGTTGATGTACAACACCATACTAGAGCCAACACCAAAAAACTCTGTTGGCTTTGCAGACTTATGCAGGGTTGAAAAGAATGAGAAAAATAAAATTCTTTACTATTTATGTTAAAATATTCTGCCATTTCATAACTTTTAAAAGGAGAAAAGACATGTGTTCTCTTACATAAAAGTACTAGCTGAAGCCTGAAAGCCATATTCTCAGAAACTAAAGATTTACACTCCTTTCACTCTGAACAGTATATAAAGCCCTACTGCGGACAGCAAGGTCTGCTAGAAACTGCAAATGCCTCTCACCAATTCAGCTTTTTTCTCCCTATTTCGTATTCATTCCAGAGGAAAGATTATTGAACATCAATGTTTTCCCTTTCTCTCTTTAGAAAAACTGTTCCCTGATTTTACCTAGCGCAATCCAAGGCACAAGGCTCAATGTATTTGATCTGGTTTTTTAGTTTTAAGGTTGTAGATATGGTTAAACTGCACACATTTAACAAGATCTAAGCACATTAAGGATTATTGATCTAAGTTTTGTCAAAGGAGAGATGGCACGTTTGTTGTGATGGGGCAATAAAAAATGTCGTTCTGACGGATGTTTGCTCAATTGAAATACTGTTTCTCACTTTTATATATTATATCGGTTCTAGTTCTCCACAGAAGGGACACAGAAGTGTTTCCCTCCAATCCTGTACATAAGGAGTTCTGGTAATGCTTGTAAGATTCCAGAAAGAATGTGAAAGAAGGAAAATACAACTATGCACTTTGTAAGGTGTGGTCTGGGTTGTGGGTTTTTGTTTTTTTTTTTTTTTTTAAGTCATTTCAGTACTTATCTGAAGCATTTTGCAAGTTAACAAAGAACCAGGTGGATGGTACACTGAGGAAGGTATAATTCAAACCTGGCTCAGCTGAAAGCAGATCGGATAGACCATTCTAATGCTATGCAATTATCACCCAGCAATATATTCAGCACTTCGAAAGCATCAATGCAGCACATTACAATTTGTAAATTACTAGGTTAATTTTAAATAATTCCATTTTAGAGATTAAAACACCCAACTGAGCCATTTGTTATCCAACCAAAGAACTTAAACCACTATTACTATCATTTCACTTCAGTTTCAATTAGGCAGATGAGAGGGATGACTTGAGCAACGGCATTTTCCAGACATTGTTAAATTTTCACTCCAAACAGCATTTGTTTCTTCACCTACTTATACTGAAAAGCTGAATTTCAAAGGTAATTTTCAAAAGTGTTTGCAAATCACAGCTGAAAATTTCAATACAACTAAATGGCTACAGCAACATGATTATTATGTAAAAATAGGTGAAAAAGTGATTCCATGGCAGCTACAATAAAAATAAATCCTTATTTATTTTGGGTACATGAACACCACGAATGGAGAGGCGACGCTGTTAAAATAGACTAACTGATCATCATTGTGGCTCTTTCATTATGTTGGTGGCAAAGCAGCCTGCTACAGCCAACTCAACACAGCATTTCTACTGGTTCACCTTACCGAACAAAGCAAAGTTGTTTCAGATGACTTTTCTTCTTCTTTAGAGAGCTGTCTGAAATAAAGAACCTGATTTGCAATAGGGAACATCATTACTTCTCACTGGACATGCATGCAGTTTGTTTTGCTGCATTTTTTAGATATTTGTACTTAATACTTTGAAAACATTTGTCTGAATATATTACTGGTTTCCCTACCACATCAGTCTACATTCAGATCCCTGAGAAAGAGATGCTACGTCATACAGAAAGTAAATCATACAGGCTGCCCCCTCCCTGGCAGTGCTCAAGGCCAGGTTGGATGGGGCTTTGAGCAATCTGGTCTGGTGGAAGGTCCCTGCCCATGGCAGGGGGTTGGAACTAGATGACCTTTAAGGTCCCTTCCAACCCAAACCATTCTCTCATTCTGTGTTTCTACGAAAAGCACATCCTAGTGAAGCACAAGCTTTCCCTTGGGCTTCCCATCTCAAGCCTGACCACGTTCAGGAAGACATTCTAGAAACCTGAAGGCTGTTCAATTCACTTCTCTCTCAACTCTTTAGCTCTGACTGAATCAGTCACTAAGACTGCCAAGTAGTATGGCCCACCATCTATTAGAAAGGAAACAATTCAACACTGTTGGCCTCACAGCAACATAAACATACAGCTAGTATCTATCCAAAACTTTCCACACAGAAACAATGGAAGCAGCAGGCAGAAGATGAGGTTTATTTTGCACACTTCAGTGTTTCTGTACTCAACCTAGAACACTCCCTCAGTTTTAAAAGTAAAATAACCATTTTTTTTTTGACACAAACTTCATGATCTGTTTACTTGGGTTGATGTTACCTATGCTTTCAACACCAATAAACACGCCAGCACGTACAACTCGCAAAAGTGTTCCTAAGAGCTAAACACAACTCCGACGTGTTACAAGTGTATTTTCAGTCACAGGTATATACACTTCACATGCCACATGACAGCACTGCACCTTGACTTGACATAAGATTACTTAAATCCCATACACACCCCCAGCTCCACATTTTTACAAAATCCTAGCAGTCTTAATCATTTGCATGTAGAAAACACATGAGTTTATTCTCCCTATTCTGCCCGTCAAAAAATATTTTTTGGGGAAAGAAAATTACTATAATAAATTAATCCATCGGTTCACGTTCCTGAGAAACTGTACTTTAATAAATGTATAAAGTAAAAATCACAGCATGCATGATTTCTGTCTTACATTATTGGGGAGAGTTCAACAACTTGTTAAATCTAAACAATAATCCACTACTACAGGGCAGAGCACATATTCACAGTTCAAATTACCTGCTCATCAAGTAAAGATTTTTGGCAGAAAAGTACTGCTCAAAGAAAGGTGAAAAAAAAAAGGAAAAAAAAAAAGGAAAAAAGAAAAACCAGACAAAACTCAACCCCAAAATAGGGGATTTAAAGTTCACCTGTCAAATGTAAGAAGGCAAATGTTTACAAATTAATAGTTTAAAGCCTTTTTTAACCACTGAAGCAGGAATATGTAGAGTTGGTTTACTGATGTAAATCTTCTGGTCCAAATTCAAACAGAACTAGCTAAAAATACTACTGTAAAACTAAAATTTTGAAATGGAAATGCTAATTCATAACCCATGAAATTATGAGTGCAAGACTGGGTTTCTTATCTCTTCTGTATCAGAACAGTGAACATCTAAGTCATTATCAAGCAAAGTTGAAGGTCCAGTGTTCTTCATTGATCATGTCACTAAACCAGGCAGATTTTGAATCTTCTGCACCCCAAAATAATCCTGTGTTTCCTCCCTGGTCTGACATACGCTACAATTTTACAGCTAAATCTACAGCAATCTTATAATCTTGAAGAAAAACGCAGAGAGCAGTGAGCTTTGTCAACTGCTAAGTCCAGTGGCTTGCATTTAAAGCACGCAGTAACAATAATAACCATAAAGTGATAAATCCTTCCAGATTATCTGCAGCAGGAGCCTTAACCTGATCCCACCAAAGACAACGTAACCTCACCTACTGCAATGGAAATGCTGGATTACTGAAAATATCTACTGTATATCTTAAAAAAGCAGCTCATGAATCAAAATAATTGATGCTTCATGTGATAGAGGACTCCTCAAGAGCGTATGGAAGAATAGGAAGTAAAGCTGAATATACTCGGCATACAAGGCAGTTACTAAGAAACAGTTTAAATTTACAAGCACTAACTTTAAAAGCAATGACAAAGAGTAGCATGTACAGGACAACTAAGAGAAGCACATTCCCTCCATACTACTATTAGTGAATGCAATGTTCCGCTGCTGTAAGAAAGTTGTGCAAAAAAGGACGGGTGCTTGCAAAGCTCTCTGCAACAAATCCTGTGGGGTTTTATTTGCTAGCTAGTATTACTTGAATGTTGCTGGGTGTTGCCATTCTACTGTCAAAGCTGTTTCAGAAAAACCTAGCGATCAGAACGAGCAATTCTGATTGTTCCAAATAAAGACATTTATCTTGCAATGAATTCTTGTTCAACACTGAAATTTTGCTGAGCCTGCATTCCAAGGTTTGTTTCAATAACTGAAAAGCGCACGAGCCTCCAGCATGAGAAGCAAAGTCGTTTTCTATTTCACTTTAATCATTTGAGAATTATTCTAAAGCAAACAGTTATTCACATTATAAATTAATGTCCCCTCTTTTCTTTTCAAGGTGTGATGTGTCTTTTCCCCCAAAAAATAAAAAAGATCCTGTCTGTTTCATACAAAACACGACCCTCAACTCTACACAAAGCAGAGGAACGACTACAGAATGCACGTACGACCAAGGTTTTCCTTGTGTAAAACTGCATACAGCGAAAGGCAGCTTGCATTTCAGTCAGTCGTTACATCCACAGGTTTTCAGCTACAAGTGCAATTACAAGGTTTATGTGTTAGAATCTTCAAAAACTACTCCAAATTCCAGTGAGTGAACTGCCATCAGTATGCACACGCAGTGCTAAATAAAACTTGACTGTTCAGCCCTGCAATTACCTGTGCAACAGCCTCCCCGAAGATCAAATAATTATTACCCTATTTTAAAAGGAAAAGGAAACAAGACCTAGAAGACTTAAAAAAGTCCCCTCCAAAAATCTCTCTCAGATCTTACAATACAAGATATAATTACTTACATTATCACCTATAATTAGAAATACATTGTTCAAAGATTACAGACTGTGAATGAAAGCGTGTGGCTACTCACCTACAGTATACCAACTAGCATCCGTCAACTTGCTGATAACAGCTTCTTGGAAGGATCCATCAGGCATCTTGGTTTCAACCATTGCACCAACCTGCAAAAAGGAGTATTTCAAGGTTACATGTAATCCCAGACTCCTATAATGGAGAAAAATACACAAAGGCGTTAATTCTCCCAGCAAGCTGGATTTATTTTTTTTTTAAGACTCATTTTAGCTAAACATTACTGTGTAAAATCTAGTTACTCAGCTGGTAAGAACAAAGGTCCTTAAAAACGAAGGCTGAACTGCAAGTAGACAGTAAAGCAGTAAGAAACTCAGAACATCTAACTTCAGCATAACAGAAGGCTAGCTGGAAATAAACATTCAAATACTCAATCAAACTAATTATTACTTTATTACTGATATGCACGCAATTACTATGATTTCTTGTATTTTAAAAGTTGCACTGTCAGCCGGATCAGAATTTCAGTAGCAGCCCACAACGGGCACTGGTGTTCTGGCTACACAGTAAAGACATAAAAAAGACGGTCTCTAAAGAGCTCTATCTGCATTCAGTGGCTTATAATGCAGCTACGTATTTTAGCAGACAACTGTTACATGTGAAAACGTAAATCACCACAAATCACCACATTTTTACATAAAATACATCAACTACTTTAAAACAGAGCAATCGTATTTACTATTGTCTGACAGGCTTGAACTTAGCTTTGTAACCAAGTTCTCAATTACTTACAACAAGTTTCAAAGTTACATCATTTGTAAGAAATTTTGTATCTTATAAGATAGAAAAATCACTGTGCACGCAAAACTTTGTATATGAAATACACTGCATGGAGAAGCACAACCTCTAAAAGCTACAAGGGCTATGACTAATTACTCAAAATCAATCTGATTTAAAGTACTGAGCCTCTTTCTGATGATTTAAACTCTGTAGAACAGGTACGCACCTAAATGACATCAAAATTCAGAATTTTATAAACCAATTCTGTGATTACAAAAAAAAAGGCATGCAATATACATACTCTTAGAGGTCCTTTCACTTGGTCATCTTGCACTAACTGTGTTGAGTTATCGCCCTTCAGGACCACCTGAAATATATCAATGAACTTTTTAATATGTACCTTACTTTTAACAACACACAAAAAGGATATGTAACTGTATTTATAACAATAAAAATAATAATTTGGAAAATAAGACCTTTATCAGTCAAATGGACTCAAACATTACTGAACGCTAAACACTTGGCATGGACAGTTCTACTGACAGGAAGCCCCAAGCATCACAGTTTGTATTTACTCCGAAGCATCACAATTGAAGAACAAAGCAAATCAAACATCAGCCATCCCAAGGCAAAGGAAATCTGTTTTGATGTGAGTTTGGGTATTGATGCAATCCAGGGTGTACCTGGGACTGGGCTTCCAGGTCAGAGATCAAGCAGGTATTTTCTCTCCCTCTTCTTCAACTGCAGCACTTTATTGACAACACACTGAGCACTAAACTATAACCAAAATCCAAAGCTCTATTTATTAAATGGGTATCGAAAAAATCACCAAACTGACCACAATACCACCATTTCTGCCACCTTGAGCAAGAGAAAGTTTTTACGGTAAACGTAACTACATCACTACAAGCGTAATGAAACTAAGGGTCAGTTAGAGCTTAAGTAAACTATGCTTCTGCCCTTAAAACCCTACATTTGAGATGGTAACACTGATGAGACAGTGAACGTAAGCCTATGCAATTGGAATCCAAGAGTTCGCAGAGACTTGGTTTAGAAACATACAAGATGAATATTTACATGTCAACACTCCTAACTCTTTCACTGCTGTTTGCTATCACCTATGGTGTTTCAATAATAAAAAAATAAATCCAAAATTCCTATTTCTTTTCAGGAATCGAAAGTTCCAGGACCTTCCTTTCCACCCACAAAGAGATCCAGCTTTCTGGCTCCCCCAGTTATCTCCCAACCACAATCTACACGGTAGCTGTATTCATAAATACAGCCTAGTGGCATGCTAAAACAGCGTTGGTATTAACACCCACTCAGGTGAATAATGCACTTTATGCAATTTTTATTTAAAATTTTGTATCAGCATTTAGATGAATACAGGTTGTCCTGCTAAGCGGGAAAATACTGGACTTTTTGGACTCTTTGTGCTCTTGGCAAGCGTGCTGGGGTGTGCCTCCACGTTCTTAATTACAGTATCAGGCTTAGCTTGTTAAAACTTCAATTGTTGTAATATAATTGAGATACGGTGACAGGAATTTCCACCAAGTCACAGCAGCCTCATATACTTCCAAATCTTATCATGGAGTAATAAAACATGATTCTAATGAGAAAAAGAAACTCACACCTATTAACAGTCTAAATACTCCATCAGACCAAAGATAGATACACAAAACCAAGGATGTCAGACAAGGAAAGCCAGCATGCTGTTTCCTATGGAGCTTCCCATTAACAAACAAAGAATAACACAAGTTTCTAGAGGTACTAATTAAGAACAGGGGAAAAAGATTCAAATACCTGAATTTTTGGGTTTTTTCTATTCATGAAAATACTCTGATAAAGCGATATATGTAACTGAAGAGGCTGATGGCTTGTTCTCCTTGACACAAGCACTAAAGCACACAAACACTTAGATGTTCGGTTACAAAAAAGAAACTTTCATCTCTATTTGTTAGGGGGTTTTTGGGTCACTAATGCCTTACACATCCTGGACAGCAGACAAGAAAGTAGGAAGTGGGAAGATTCTGACAAAACAAAGCAGAAGAACATTTACTTTCAACTCTTAACTTTCATTTAACTATGTTTTATTCTTGTTTTCCCACAGTAGCATTTACACTAGTACTGCAACACCAAAATAATTACTTTCTTTTTTGGTTGTTTTGGCATGAGGCCTGTAAATGTGAATGAACATTTCGTGCCAGTACTATGCATGTGCAGAAATGCAGCTACAGCCAGAGCACGTTGTTTTAGAAGCAACAGCAAGATGCTCAAAACTTAACTAACTGTTATCCTGGACACTCCTAAAACCTGGCCTAAGAAACTAATTATTGCCATCTTTTTTGACGTTACACTGATTTATTTTGGCATTGCCTCTTAAGTTCCAAGCTATAAAACTGAGAATGTCAGTTAGAATGAAATGGAAATTCTGCTTCTGAAAAGGTTGCTCTTATTCCTTATTACTCATGTAAAGCCATAATCCTCTATTTGTGACATCAAAACTGATGGCTGCGAAACTGATGCGTTCGCAAACAGAAGACAATCCTGATCAGGAAAGAAGTAGCAAGGATAGCTAATTTGAAAGTTCATTTGTGCTCCAGCATGCTCCTAAAAAAATAAAAAAAGAAAACCCACCCTCCAAAAAAAGAGCAAAACACAAACAACCCCCCCCCCAAACCCAACACCAAAATGTGACAAACAACATTCAAGTGGTCTTTCAAATTCATACAGTGAGGTGATGAACACTTCCTGATGTTCAGCACCACAGTCTTCTCTGACAGTCCTTTCAAAACTACGCTTTAATAAAATCAGCAACAACCACAGTATACTACCTTGACTTTCACAAGCCTTTTCACTGTCTTAATCTTTGCCTCACAGAAGGCACCACGGTACTTGGCACTGACATCAGTTCCCACTGTCAGGTAGGCAGGCTCATCTGCTGCCTATGAAAAAACAAAGAGTAAGAACAAAGTTTAGTTCTTATTTATTTTTTTACAACTACATCATTATATATTTAATTTTACATCTAAACTTTTAGACCTGTTGACTTTTAAGCCATAATGTCTGCATTCAGAATTGCGCTTTTCTTTAGAAGGAAAAACAAACAAATCAACCAACAAGTTACAGGAAGTTGTTTTACCAGTGATGTTGACCCCCCCGAAGTTTACCAGCCTGATTACTCTTCCAGAAATTATCTTCGAGGGTATCGAACTGATATTTGGAACACCTCCTTATGAAAAGGGTAACACCATATAGGAGTGACTATTAATTCAAGTCTCTCCTATACAGCGTACAAAAGGAAAATACTTCAACTGCAAAAAGGCTGTATAAAACAGTTGTACTTGTTTCAGCCATAAGCAATCCAATGACAGAGATTATTTAAAACATTTGAGACTGCTATCATCCCAATACTTACAATTAAGTCTATAACATTCTATATATAGGATTTTTTTTTCTGCTGACTAAGAGGAGACCTCTAGAGAAATTTGTTGTAATCTTCCAAACAGCTGCTAAATAGTATTTTCTTTCCTGAAACGCCCTTATCAAAGCTTAATTGCTCACGCATTTTAAAAGAGAGAAATATTTCTCATCATATTTTCCTTAATCTGGACTTTATTACTCAACATTTCACTTGATTGTCCTTGTAGCAATTGACAAACAAGGACAAAATTACCACTTTGAAAGTGTCTATCAAGACAGGAAATCAGCACAGAACAACTGTTTTTCTGTTGGGTTTTTTTTTTTCTTCTTTTTAAATTGTTATTATTTCTTCAAATCTAAAGGGAAAAAAAAAAGTTTTTCTCTCTTTTGTAAATTATACTGCAACTGTTAAGCCTTTGTACCGGCAACAGCTAAGGCGGGACAAAAGCTGCGGTTTTGCAAACTTGCAATAGCAGCTGCTGATACAGGAAGCATTTAAAGACAGTGGCCCAAAGGACAACAACTCAAAGACGTTGTGAATTTTCATACTACTGCAAGACGACAAGAGCTTAGCTCACGCACACCTCAGCCGGAGAGCAGAAACAGGATTTATAGCATGCACCGAAACCCCGGCCAGCGGGATCCTACTGTTGCTCAGCCGAGACGTGCGATTAAAAATGAGATGGCCAGAGCAGGCAGCGAGGGAGGAAAGGAAGCCGCTCCCCGCTCGCGAGTTAGCCTACCTTCATCTTCAAAGGTTATTTGACGGATTCCAGCTCAAAGATTTCTCCTCCCCGCCAGCACACGGGAAAACA